TCCTTACTTAAGTGTAAAATTAAGTTTTAATCTTAAAACAATTTCAAAATAATCTTTCAAAGTATTTCGAACCATTTCAAAGCCAAAAATTCCAGATTGCTCAGAGGGAACCGATTCCCCCCCAAGGGGGTATCGATTCCCCCTGAATGGTTTGGCTCCGAGATTTCCAGAATGCTCGGAGGGAACCGATTCCCCCATAGGGGGTACCGATTCCCCCTTTTCAACGGTCGAAATATTTGAATTTTACACTTAGGGAACCGATTCCCTATGAGGGGGAACCGATTCCCCCCACGCTCCAAGCTGTTTTATTAATTGTTTTCACACTAAAACGGCTATATGATCTTCACTAATCATCCCCAACGTTCAGAAGTGATTCAAGGTGTATTTAAACAATTTCTGAAGCCCTTGATCAACAAGAAATCATAGAGAAACAAGAGAGAAAGCATCAAACACCAAGTTTGTGCAAATCAAGCCAATTTTCCTTTCAATATTCATTTTGCTTTCAAGAACACCATTTGTGCCCATTTGTAATTATCTTTGAGTGTTCTTTTCTTGTTCTAGAATTGTGCAAACATCTTACCTTGTGAGGTTTTCCTTGTAAGTTTGCAAATTTGTAATCTTCTCTTTGGGAAAAGAGTGTTCTCAAGAATTGGGGTATATTCTTGAGGGTATTGTAAGGTTATCTCTTTGGCCTCAAAAGAAAGAACAAATTAGTGAATTTGTTGGAAAATCCTTAGTGTGGATAGCTAAGGTAGTGGACGTAGACTTTGATTGAGAAAGTCGAACCACTTTAAATCGTTGTACAAATCTTTTCAATTTTCTGCAAAAGCTTCCACCGAATTTTTAATTGCCAATTCACCCCCCTCTTGGCTAATTCCGTCGATCGATTAACTCAACAGAAACAGAATCAAAGATTTTGTTTCAAGGGAAACTGTCTCAAGGGAGACAATATTTGTTTCAAGAGAAATTGTCTCAAGGGAGACAAAATTTGTTTAAAGGGAAACATATTCAAAGATTTTGGTTTCAAGAGAAACTGTCTCAAGAGAGACAATTTTGTTTCAAGTGAAACAAATTCAAAGATTTTGGTTTCAAGAGAAACTGTCTTAAGAGAGACAAAAAATTTTCTGAAAGGAAAATGTCTCAAGTGAGACAAAATTCATTTTTTAGAGAAAATAATCTTAATTAAGATTAATTTTGTTTTAAGGAAAATTGTCTCCAGCGAGACAAAATTTGTTCTTAGGAAAACTATCTCATGTGAGATCAATTTTGTTCTAAATATTTCAAAATTTTGAGAAAATGTCTCAAGCGAAACGAAGTTTGTTTTGAGAAAGACTATCTCAAAGGATTATAAACTACCCACTCATGCATGTTGAGGAAATGTCTTCAGTAGATCTGATTGTTGACTTGAGGAAGTCAAATCTGTGGATGACCTTGTTCTTTCAAGTTGAAGACATTTGGTTATTTCCGAGCTTTTATTTCCTGAAATATTGAAATGATGTATTTATGACTGCCTATATAGGATGCTTACAGGTGTCATGATGAAGTTTGTATTTTATGTGTTGAATTAGTGAATTTATCCTCAAGAGAGGGAAAATCAAAGTCTTTATTGCACATGATGATGAATTCAAAGATGCAAATTTTGTGCGTCATGTATGTATGTGTTGATGCATGTATATGTTAATCTGTAAGGGGAATGGTTGCAATAGCAGTATTCAGTCTATCCCTGATTTTAGTTTGTCTTCATTCCCACCAGGGTGTACTTTTGCAAACCTCGACCCGAGAAAACTTATTTTCCTTTCCCCATCAAATTTTGGCCCAAAACAATTTGGCTTTCCCTTGCCCCAGCTTCAATCTTGAGCTTTGGAGGTATATTCGTTGAATTCCAAGATATGCTTCCATAGAGATTATCTTGTTTGAAAATGTTTTTATTCTTCTTCTTTTTATTTTCAAAATTTTGAAAAATATCGAAAAGAATTTTGAAAAATATTGCCTCATTCTAAGTTTCACAACTGAAACAAATCATAAAACAGGAGTTCATTGGATATTAAAAAAATCAATTGCTCTTTTAATATTTGATAGCTGCAAATCTTTAACAAATATCAAGATCGAAATGTTGGTTTTGAGGTTGGCTACCTAAATTCTAAGGTTTGTTTCCTCAATTCTTCCTTTTTTTCCTTTTCTCGGTCCTTGTGAAAATTAGGACATGCCCTTCTTTCTTAGTTTGACATTTTGATCGGAGGCGGACAAAATATCACAACTAACATAGTCAATTGCTAGACTTTTTAGAACACTTTTGTTTCAGTTCTTTGAAATCTTCTGTTTGTTCAAGCTTCGTAAGCTCCTATAGCAAAGGTAGTACAAAAATATTAGTCTAAACTGTGATTTATGAGCGCTCGTGTGAGTTCGACTATAACAAGCGTTTCTCAACTCCCTTAGTCCATATTCACCGAAACTCGTATTTAGTAAATTCGACTTAATTTTCCATTGTTTGGCTACCTGAAATCAGCTTTATTGTATTTATATATTATAATTGCCTTGGCTTGGCTAGATGAAGGATTCATGTCGTCACAGAGTCTTTGACCTGACAATCACAGTAGACCAAACACTGAATTTCCAAGTACCCGATCAATGTCATGATTTGAATGTAATCTATTTATAAAGCCAGGGCTTTCGATTTTCCTCTATAACCAATGGCTTTAGCGGAATAGCTCAGCTTCATTGTATACACACACACACACATATATATATACATATATTATGGGTATACGTATTCCATTTCTTAAGCTTGTCAAGAAGAACCTGTTATAGTCCCGGTATTTTCGAAGGTCAGAGAATCTCATCGTTAGAGTTCTATTCCCAAGCAACTGACCTAGACTAGATTCACCTACTCAACCATTGAACGTCATTAACAGAAGTAGAAACTGATTACCTTAGCAATCTCATATGTAAGTTGCCCCATTTTATCAGCTCGTAACACATATATGAATGACAAACCCTTGATTGACTCTGCATGTAAGGAGAAAACTAAATTGGTCCATTCAAGAGAAGGGTATGAATTATGGTGTATCTGGAGTATGATTGAGGGGTCTTTGTTTTGTTGGGGTTTAATCTTGTCATTTGTCATATATTTACAACCTCAGTTATAAAATAAACTTTTAATTAATATGATATTCAAGGAATTTCAAGATTAAAATTTGCTCATTGTTCATTTCTTAAGAAGGAAGCATTTTATTTAAAATATTCGAATGTCAAGTGACTTGCAAACATTTGAATGTAGAAAAAAACAAGTTCAAACAAGACAATTTGCGAGTGCATCAAAAGTTTCTAGTGGTTGCAATGATTTTTCTCGTTTTGCATCAGAATGCCTTGTCATTCATCAAATGTCCATGCCCCTGAATCAATTAAATACTGAACCTTGCGCTTCAATGCCCCACAATTCTCAGTTGTATGCCCTGAGCTTCCCATGTGGTAGCTACATACTGCATTAGCATCATTCCCCTCAGAAAATGGGGGTTCTTTCGGTTTAGACTGAACAGGAGTCACGAGATTCCTCTCAATTAGGACTGGGAGCAGCTCTTCATATGTCACTGAAATTTTACCAATAGGGTATTGTCTCGGGTCACTTTATAAGGTTTGGCCCCATGATTAGCTGAATAAGACATCACAGTATTGACCTCGACTCCTTTCTTGATGTCAACACTGTCAGAGCCTCTTATCTTGCTATTCTTGATAGTTGTTTCGATCATTTCCCCACACATGACAATGTCAGAGAAATTCTTGGTGGCAGTTCTTATCATATGATCAATATAGGGAGGTTTTAATGTATTGATGAACATAGTAGCGACCTCTTTTTCGGTCACTGGTGGCTGCACTTGAGAAGTAATGTCCCTCCATTGTTGCGAATATTGTTGGAAGCTCTCGGTGTGTCTCATCTCCATGTTTTACAACGTGATTCGATCAGGGGTCAGATCCGTCATATGCTTGTATCGATCCAAAAAGGCTTGAGCTATGTCTTTCCAAGAACGGATTTGAGTACGCTTTAGCCGGTTATACCATTTGGAAGTCGGTCTAGATAAAATATCTTGAAAAGAGTGGATCAACAACTTCTCATTCTCCACATAGCCAGTCATCCGACGATAATCATCCGACGATAACACATGGTGATGTGGGATGAAGGGCATGTGGTCCCATTATACTTCTCGAAATCCGAAATCTTAAACTTTGGTGGGAGAACCAGGTCGGGGACAAAACTTAGCTCTTTCGCATCCAACCCATAGACTGACCCGACCATCTCCCTTGATTTTATCACCTCTTCTACTCTTTTTAATCGTTGGGTCAATTTTTTCTTCTCATCTAAATCATTCAAGTCAGGGACCTCATTATCAGCACAAAAATCGCCTGGTTTTAACCCAGATGCAGCATGATAATCAATGGGGAATGGAGCTCCAGTATGATATTGTGGGTTCTTAGCAATACAACAGGTTGGTAATCGAATTTTCTGATGCCCAGAGGTGTGCTCAGGAATGTGGACAGGTGTAAAACATGGAGGATGTGTGGGGTCTTCAGCATGACTCTTTCCAGAGGTCACATGCCTCCTAAACATTTCTTTCATCTTATTCAGCAAATCGAGCTGCGAGTTTGCGATATTAGCTTCCAATTGCGTTAACTTTCTCCTCATTTCTTCTTGTAATTCTTTCTATTCTCTCTCAATTCTGGCTAACTTATCCTCTATTTCTTTAGGCATTTTCTATCATTGTGCAGATGATAAGCGTTCTTGCTATAGAGTGAACCTGAATCACTGCGATCGAAACCTTATCTTATTATTTATGTATTTGAATGAATGAATGTTTTAATGCATGATTTGAAAATTAATCAAAACAAATGCGATGCATGCATAAAAAATGTTAATCCAGAGTAACCATCTTAAATGATTTTCATTGAACACAAATGGTTTCAATACATCAAATAACCAAACTACAAATAATAAATAGTTTTGGCTCCTAGCTTTTTATCTCGATCATGAGCCAGGTTATCTTCCAAGCATGATCTGGTGATAAGCCATCAATCTGCTTCAAATCTCTTACAAAGACAGCTAATTCGACCAACTTATGAGCCACATTGCTTGCTTGAGTAACCGTCTCATTCATCACGTTGTCTTTTTTCTCCATCTTAAGTTTCAACCTTTGAAGCTGTAGGCAATATTGACCATTCTCTCTCGTAAGAGACTCGATGCGGTCATGAAGTTCTTGTGCAAGATTTCTATAATCATGTACCAACTCTGTCATTGTTTTATTGTTGGCTCTACTTGTTTCTTGTTCAGTATTTTTCTTACGGTTGTAGTTTTGAAACGAGGCTTCTGTGTCTGTAAGGACTGTTCTCAACATTTCATTCTTTGTTTGCCATATCCCCAACTCTTTTAAGGCTATTTTTCATTCATTTTCTGCAATCTGCAGATCACGAGAGCACATCTTAGCTCTTTCTTCGTGCATTTTACAATTTCTTTTCTATTATTTAACACCACTCCAGATATGGAGGTTGCAAAGGCTTCACATACTGTGGGGCCACTTCCCGTGCTTCTAACAACTTATTATATAAATATTCATATGAGATAGGATCAAGATCAAAGTCAAGATCACTACCTCCTATCTTTCAGTCATCAATGAGGCGAGTCTCCATTGAGCGAACGTTAGTTTTTGAAGTTGGCTTCAAACATTGAACCGTTGGATTCTTATTATCCTTTATTTTCATATTCACGGGTATTTTGGTGGCGTCTGGATTTTTAGTGAACGCGAATTGACCCAGTTTAAAATGATCATGTGCCTTCTTTTCATCTATCTTTACTTGCAATTTTATCATTGTCATTGTTTCCTTTGTACTTCCTGACAACTTATTAATGTGGACAATGATTGCGCGTGGCTCCTTAAGTTCACTTGGATTACCTTGTTCAAAAGTAGCCTCTTGTATTACAGAATTATTCTTGTCAAGTTTTTTCTCCCTTTGTGTAGAAACCTCTTTTCCTTTGGCCAGCACAACTATTTTATCCATCATTTTGGACATTTTCTCTCTGATTTGTTGTAGTTCACTTTGTTCTTCGTTATATATGCGATCTTTGGACGTAAGACTCTCTACTTTTCTCGGAACTTCTTTCAGATGCCATTTCCTAGTTGTATCGTGGCCTACCTGATCATGAAACCCCTTGTCCATTGTGAAAACCTTTTAATTGATGATCACTCAGAATCAATACCTTTTTGCGTATGTCATGACCATATTGTGCAAGAAAAAGAAAACAGAAAAAACCAAGTTAGGACATATAACAATAGGTTTGGTGTAAATGCAAATGCGAAGATGCAGATACAACGAAGGTGTTGATTCCAAAGTAATCTTCATAAAACAACTTCCAAAGAACACACAATGTCTCCATACACCGAGGCAGATAGAAACTACAAATCACATCACACTGCTCGACTTTTTCAATTTTGATCGAAAATGCAAGGAAACAATATTCTTTTATCCTTGGCTTGATGGAAGATTCCAATGCTTTGACTTCTTTTCCAAAAATGCTTTTGTTGAGCGACCCTATACAACTGTCATCATCCACTGTCTCGTGTTGGCTATCATTTTTGCTTGATGAATTCAAATGTATTATTTCTTTTCGACTAGTTATATCAACATCATCGTAGCACCTTTGAAAAACTTGTTTTACTGCATCATTTGAGCTTCATGTATTCCATCTTGACGTAACTCTTCAGTTGTTTCATTGAGTACATTTTTGTGCCATTGATGTGTTTTTGCATTTCTATTATGCCTCTTCAAGTTACATTCTCCTATTGAAAGCCTTCTAATACAACCATTAACTCGGGAATCAATACCTTCTTTGACATGATATGTATGAAACATGTATTAATTTCAAGGTAATTAACAATATGTTTATACACAAATAAAGCAACAAGACAAGGAAAATATGTTAGAAACAAATAATAATCAAATAGATGAAATGAAGTATTAAAAGATCAAATGCAACTAGTAAAAGATCCATAAAATACAATGAATAAAACACATAGAGGAAATTAAAACCCTACCACATAATTTTTAGTTCACTTGCAATTATAAAAATAAAAATACAAAAATAAATAATCTATTAAAAGACAAAGGTTAGAGTTCATTTCTCCTTTGTGTACACTTATTTGGGTACATATGGATAGAGTTTCAACATGATTTTAGATCGGGTGGGTTTCTACGGTTTATTATATGCAGAGTTTCGGTTATAAGAGTAAAGGTACTCAAATTGTCCTTGTCGGTGCCCCCTTGGGCGGGCTAGACCCTCAATCCTCACCCATTATAGGATTAAGCGAATCGAGTTCAATTCAAGGGGGCACATTTCCCTATGCCTGACACGGAAAATAAATCCTCAAGAATACATAGGACATATGAACCCCGGAAGCTAATTGTTAGGTCTGACACGGAGAATAAATTCTCACGAAGACATCGCTTTCACTCCCACTTAAAAGGAATAACTCGTGTATAGAGCTTATGTTATGCAATGCAAGTGTCATGTGTGAGGAGAAATTATCAAACCTTTGACAAACAACCACACAAAAATGAACTAAAGCGAATCCAAGACTTTAATATCTGAAAATCAATCAAATGCACACATTAGTATACAAAAATATAAAATTAAATAATGATTAAAAGGAATCAAAGAAATCATAAATTAAATAAAACCAGAATTCTCAATTTCTAACTATGGAGACAATATATAATCGATTTAAGGCTTGACCCTCTACATCCCCAGCGGAGTCGCCAAGCTATTGACATCGTTTTTCGCCCGGGCGGAGAAAACTTAGTACGACTTGGGGGTTTTCTTTTGAAAAGATTTTGAAATGTTTTGAAGTCGCCATCAACCTTTTAAGCTAGGTAGGTCGAATACCTAAAAATACCTTTTAAAAGAGTTTTTAAGAAAACATCATTTTAAAAGATAAACCAATCTGCGTGTAACATGAGATTCATTCTTTTTGAAATAAAAAAAGGGTTCGGGAACGATTACGTGTAGGGAAGGAATAACACCCCCACAACACCCAAAATTGGTACCTCATCGATTATAAATTGTCTCTAATAGTGGAAATCTAAGAATTCAAATATAAATTTAAGTTACGATCCTATTATTTCAGATTCAACCAAACAATTTTAATTAATGGAAAGTTCTAAGGAGAAATGAAAAATATTATAATATTTCCAATCGAAGAGAAAATAATCCCTAAAATATTTTAGGACGAATATTTCTCTTTCTAACTGAAATAAAAAGAATATAATATTTTTCCTAAGAATTCAAGATTAAAATAATTTTTATTCTATCAAAGAAAGAAAATAAGCCAATATATCCGAATTATATCATTATAAAAGATAAAAGACATTCAATTGTTTAAAAATATCGAAACTTAATCTCTAATAAAATTAGGTGAATTGTTTCGATAAGTTTATATAAGTGAATATTTCCTTTTCTCTTCAAACTTAATTAATTTTAATGCAATCAATTTTTTAGGTCTTTCTACTGGGATATTTATTTATTTTACAATATCGGAAAAAGACATCTAATTATTTTAAGACTATCCCTCCTTAATATTTTAAAATAAATAAATATTACCCTTAAACCAATTATGTAATCGGTTGAGTTATGCTAATGAGGCTTTTAGACGAAATAAAAATGGTACATTGAAGCATTTAAAGAAAAAAATATAAATACACATATGGACTAAAAAAACAATTTTAAGGTTATTTTTAACTTTATTTTACTTAATAAAGTCTATACATATATTTTCAAACATGATATTTAACATAGAACATAATATTTATTATAAATGTACTAAGATGTAAATTATAATATTCATACACACAATACAATACATGTAGTATTATATAAATATATATAATAAAGTAATATATATAATAATATACGTAAAATAAATACATAATAATATACATAAAATAAATAAGTAATACATAAAACATACATAATGGTACAACATAAAACAATATTCATATGCATTCCTTTGTAACATAGTGACAAAATAAGTGTAAAGTAAATTTGAGATCATAAATATAAATAAAAAAACATCTAGGCATGAAAGAAAAAAAATCATGTAACAAGAGCACAATAATCGTAATAAAACCATAAATATACAAAGAAAAAAAGAAATAAATAAAAACAGTAGCCAAGTTTAAGGAAATAACCAAGCAATTAATGACTAAACTATAACAAAAATGAACCATAATGTCAAATTTATAAAAATAAAAAAATGAGGTACTGGGTGACCAAAACACTAAAACAAGGGAAAGATACAGGAAACTAAAGGTGATTTTACCCTGATAGTGACCAAAGCTTAAACACGCTGAAACTATGATGACCTTGTTTGCAATTTACCCTTAACTAGTAACTAAAACGTGAAATATACTAAACAGAGAGGACTTTATGCGTGATTTACCCTTAACTAATAACTAAAACGTAAAACATAATAAACAAGGAGGACTTGATGCATGATTTACTCAAAATCCTAATGTGAAAACTTATCCCCTTTTGATATCATCTCCAGAAACGTTGAAAGCAAAAACCCATCTCCCTTTTCATTTTTTTCTTCTTCCTCACCTCTCCAACCGGCCGCTGCTTACTCCGACCACCTTCATCGGTGATCGATCTCTAACCCGAACGAAACCAAACCAAAAACCCAGCCCTCACCCAACTATATTCCGACGAGGAGCCCCAACAAGGAAGGTAAGCACTCTTCTCTTCCTTTATTTTTTTTAGATCGAAAATCTTCCCTATGCATGTAACATATTGCTTGAAAAAAATGGAAAGAAATGAAGTAAAAAAAATTACCGCTTGCATTGCTTCGAAATGTTTTTCGGGGAGATTAAAAAAAACCCACCCTTTTTACAGTAGATAAATTAGTTTCTTCCTCCCGTTTTTACACTGATTTTTGGGGTTTTATAACCCATTACATATATAAAAAAATTTATTGTTGGTGGATGATGATGGACTCAATATAGGGTTAATGATGGTGATGACTGTGTTGCAGGCGTAGGGGCATGAAAGCAGAGGAGCAGGCGGTGGCCATAGCAAATCATACCCCTAGGGGCCCGGGTCGGATCCGGGTTGGGCTTCAGCTGGACCTCGGGTTGGGCCAGCTGGGTGTTGGTAACATGTATTAACTTATGTAATATATTTTTCTTTGGGCATGAAAATTGTTGCGTACACACATATTCTGAACCTGCGAAATCGGAAGACATAATGCAAACAAATACCCCTAAGGTTTGACAATTGTAGACACCCATTTTCGTCCAGGGCCTATTTAGTATATATATTTTAATATAGTATAGTTTTCAAAAATATTTTTGAAAATATAATATATAGTTGTTTTTTAAAATCGGTTTTTGAAAATATATATATAGTTTTGAAAAGGATTTTTGAAAATATATATATTATATAGTTTTGAAAACAATTTTTTGAAAATATATATTATATAGTTTTGAAAATACTTTTTTTTAAAACGTATAATATATAGTTTCTTTTTCAAAAAATGATTTTTGAAAATTATTATATTATTTATATTAATTTTTATTTATTTATTTTTCCTATTCTTTTTATTATTATTTTTCCTTTTTTCAGGGTCTGAATAAGGGTCTAAATCCAGTCCAAGGGAGTCAAAATGGCCTGACCGTAATATGACAGAGGCGCCGTATGAGGAGATTAGGTCGCACGCTTGGAAGCCACGCGCTAGCAAGGTTACCAACCGGCAGAAGAACCCGGGTTGCACCATCCCGGGGTTTTCGGTCAACCCACAACCACACGAACGATCGAACGTCCCGATAATAACGGGAACAACCCATTGAGGGTGGAAGCAACGAACACCGATGGAGGGGTATAAATACCCCACCAAATCTGTCAAACGGAAGATATAACTAACGATCGAAGAGGCAACCAAGTATCGTTGAAACAAAAAAATACAAACCACAAGCATACCAAAATATAAAAGAAAACCACAAATACGAACCACAGTAGCCATAAAAAATACCAAAAGAAACCGAACAGAAAAAGATATAGCAACACATAAACACAAAAACAACCCTGCCACTAGAGCATCAAAGCATCGAAGCCAAGCATCACAATACTAAAAGAAGAGTTGGTCTCGGTTCGAGTGGGAAGAGCCATTGGAAGTCGAAAAGCTCGTCGAAAAAGGTAAAAATCGAAGGGGTTTTTTTAGATCTATGTTAAGGCAGTTTGATTTTGATGTTTTGGGGTTCGAATTTGGGATCTCGAGGGTGAGAAGAGCGTTTCGGGTGTTTCGAGGTCGGCACGGGGTGGTTGTGGCTGGTGAGCGGTCGGCCGTTGGCTGGAGAGGATTTCTGGAGAAGGGTTGAGAGAATTGTTGAGGATGAGAGAGAATGGTTTTTGAGGAAATGAGAGAAAGAGAGGAGATGGGGGTTTGCACATTTATATATCGAGGACTATTGTGTAATTAATAGATTTTTAAATCCTTTCTGTCGTCCCTGCAACTTTGAAATGTAAATCATTCAGGTCATTGTGTTCAATTTGGCCTTTGAATCTTTAATTTATTTGATTTGGTCCTTATCTATAATTTACATTTTTTTTGCAATTTAACTTGCAGCTTATTTTTTTTAACATCAATTGGATCCATGAATTTCAATTTATTCGAATTTAGTCCTTTAAATTTATATACTTTTTCTTTTTATTCTATTTTTATTTACTCCCAAAATTTAACTTTTTTTCTTTTTTTAAAAAAAATTAACATTTATTTATTTTTTTAGTTATTTATTTATTTCCTTTAAAATATTTTTTTTCTTTCTTAATTTTTTTTATTTTTCCCTTTTGTTTTTTTCCTTTCATTTCATATTTTATTTTACCATATAACACCTTTTTGATTTTTTCAATAGTAATTTCAATCGATCAAAGGTAAGCAATTTGAATTAATTTTTTAAATTTCGATTTAAATTTAAAGTTTCGTAATTAAGACAACTGGTAAATTAAATGGTACCGAAATGACAGTTCAAGAGTGCTAATCATTTCTTGACTGTAACCGACTCCCGAATCCGATATATTTCTGGTAAAACGCAAATCAGGTAAGATTGTGTCCGATCAACCTAAATATTGTTTTTAAAATGATCGGTGGTGACTCTAACATGTTTTATTTAAGTCGAAGCCCAATTCCGGGCCCACTCGAAAGACGGTTGCGACAACAATATATGCATTTTTGCCCCTATTGTTTTTTAGAACATTTGACCCTCAACGTTTCATTTTGGGTCAAAAATCACCCTCGTTGGATGAAAGTCGTTAGTCAACTGACGGTCAACGCCTGAAGCTGACTCAGCAAGAACATGTGGAGGGAAATACTGACGTGGCATGTCCATATCATAGTAGACGATGACATAGCAGATCCACGTAGACTAAATGTTGGCTTGGTATGTCCACGTGTGCTGCCACATCAACATTTTTAAAAAAAAAAATTAATTAATAATAAATAATTATTTTTTACTAAATTTATAGCAACCATTCAGATGTTATCACGTGACACATGAAATTTTTATTAAATTGTGAAAGGTGGGATTAAACCTCCACAAAATTTTACAACGGATTTGAAATTGGGTCTAAGGGATGAAAAGTTTGACGCCCAACCACAAGCCAAATCACTTGATTATTTTTAAATGTTTAATAACATCATTTAAAATATATTGTTACCATCAAAATCACCACTAACATGATTATAATAATAAAACACTGATGAAGGCTGAACCAACGGCAGAAGGCGTACCTGGAGGTGTACCACAACACCTGGAAAGGTCGTCCACGTGTTCAACTTCTAACCCAATCATCCATGATCCCAAGGACAACTCCTCATTGGCGAATCTATGCAAAATGGAGCTGCCATGCAAATGTTCCATTTCAATTATCTCCATTACCAAAATTACTATATGTACAACATAATGTGATGGTTGCAGGCACTCACGAGTTGATGGAAATATAAGCAGCGAGATTCTTGGAAATGCCATATATTTGTCCAGTGACATGCCTGAAATACTTGTTTCCATCCTCTCCAAATTTCCAATATTCCGGTTCATGATATTTCTCCCCTCTGCATGCATGCCATTGCCATTCATATTTATATTTTTGAACAATTTCTTCAGTAATCAAAACACTAACAACTTCAGCATACGAACAGGTCCAAACTTCATGCACCCTATGTACACTCTCGGCTTTGCTCGGTACTGCGCAACCGTGGTGGCTAGCATACCCAAGTTGACATGGACATCGTCATCCACCTTCACGTAGAAATCAGCATCCCAAATGGAAACAGCGGTGGAGAAATAGAGTCTGGTCTTGGTGGACAGTTGGTGGCGGGGATTCAAATTGCGGTCGCAGTTGCGTTGCGTTTATCGCGGTCGCGGACGTGACGGATGCTATCACGGCCTGGGTATCGTGGACGTAAAGTTTTTTAAATTCACACAACTTATTATAAAATATAATAATTATAATTATAAAAAATCACTTTTAATGATTTTTAGAGTATTTTATAACACTTAGACTTTTATTAATGAAAATGATGAGGTTGCAGTTTCTAGCCTTGCATGTTTCATTCTGATAGAACAGACTTACCCACCGTTGGATCTTTCTTTTCCAAAACATCTTGTGATAATCCAACGGTTTAAAAAAGTTAAAAACATGAGGAGAGTTTTATTATGTTTAGGGCATATCCAAATAGAAAAAGGGGAACCAAAGAGGAAAGTTGTTTTTATTCGTTCACGAAGCTAACTTCCTTGAACTGAACGGAGATTCCGCGATATAACGGCCGTTATACTATTATACGATAATTTTTTGAATCCCTGGTTGGTGGTATCCTTCCACATGGTTAAGCCTCAGAAAATCATTGTACTCCGCCTCTTCTTTGTCCAGAGCTTTATCTAGTACCCCACCGGCTGTGGCACTGTGCCCTATAACAAATCTCATCACTATCCCTTTCTCTCTCTCCAATTTCCTCAGCTTTAATCCTGCAAGTAACAAACTCTTCAACTTACAGTAACAAACAAGTAATCCTGTAGGCATCCACGTAGCCTTAACGGAATCCCTTCGTTTCCTGCTGCTGAACGCTGTGTTGATTCCTATAACCGCAAAAACCTTCTGCAATGTGTGATTCGAGGACTGTGGTTTTTGCAGGTAAACTCCTCCAACACCACTCTTGCTCATACGAGACGCTGTTAATTCCATTTCCAAGATGGAAATTGTTTTCTCCAGGGACCTTACGTACAGTGGTATAATTATTGTCAAATAAAACATAGTTAGAACCGAGAAGAAATGACCAAAAAAGAAACAATTAAGCTCACTGGATAGCCTTGTGAGTTTTGGAGACTTCTCCCATGATGTGTTCGGCCTTTCCTTCAACGAACCTCTGATTGCGAACAGGAAAAAAATGCAAACATGTCTGTGAATATATAATGAAATTGACTGTAGTCATGAGTAAATTTTAGAAATAAAATGGAGTTGAAAGTAACATATATACACGTTTGTGATCATAGTCAGGGGCTAACTCTCCCAGCTTGTTATGAGAAGTACTCCAGGTTCGGCTAGTGATCAGGGATCCTGCAAGAAAGCTAGCAAGACATAATACCATAAATATAATCACTTTCCCGGTAACCGCCTTTCCTCGCATTTTCTTCAACTCGATTCTCAAGCTGTCCGTATCGATCCACGCCACGACGGTAGTTAATGGTGAACTCAGATGTTTCCACAATACAGACAGATGCTGCAATTAATCAGTTTTATTATTATCATCATGTTAGTGGTGGTTTTGATGACAACAATATACCTTAAATGATGTTATTAGCCATTCAATAACAATCAAGTGATTTGGCCTGGAGGTTAGGCGTCAAGTCTTTCATCCCTTAGAAACAGATTCAAACCTCGTGGGTTACAAAATTTTGTAGAGGTTTAATCCTTCCTTTCCTAATTTCATAAAAAATCTATGTGTCACATGACAACATCTGATTGGTTGTTTTTTGACTTAAAATGAAACGTTGAAGGATCAAATGTTCCAAAAAAATAAAAGCAAAATTACATATATTGTCACACGTTATGGGTATTTGTTTGCTTATGCCAAATCGAAACTGGAATGTACAATTCGATCATGTTGTTAAAACTGGAAACTGTGAGGCTGACATGCTCTCCAGATTGGCACCTGCTGCTGATCTTTCTGTCCAATATTGAATCCTTCCTCCCCTTGAAGTTCAATCCCTGCTCTGAAAAGATGTATCGGCTGGATGATGAGTTGGTTTTGCTGATGTTATTCCTTTATTTTTTTAAGTCGCTTGTTATTGTTTTCCTGTTTCTTTAGAGGTACCAATTGTACTGTTTTCCACCGACTAGGGAATTTTTAAGGAGGCACTGGCATCTCCCCTGTGTATGTTCTCACACCGCTTTTATAAAAAAAATATTTATATTTAATGATATCAAATCAATGAGAGTATTAGTTGTTTGTGCAAATATTAAATCAAAATTTAATATATAAATTTAAAGTTAATATCATTTCACCAATGTTAAGATTTATCTTTAATTGTGTTAAAAAAATGGATTTAGTTCGAACATTTTTAGTGTTTTAAGTATAAATATGGGGAGTACAAATTACATACGAAAGAAACTGTGTTTTACAACACAAAAAGGACTGGCATTCACAACAGAAACATATGGGGAGTACGAATTGAGTTTATCTATAACTTAATTAAAACAAACAATGGTGGAATGAATTGCAAGTGTAACTTACAAGTATTGACAATGCATAGGGTGAGAGGTGCATGAGGATCTAAATTGTCGATGACATGATGTGCAGTGCATGTTCCAAGCAAATTCACTTGGCTCGAGAGATTTCAGATCCTCCTCAAAATGTGAAGGATCGGAGCCATATCTCAGCCGTTCATAAGATCAAGGATCTATTGAGGCTTCTTTCTTAAGTTCCTCTGAGTTTGATTGAATTCACCCTGTTGGTTGCTTGAGCAGTGGACACATTTTTGTTCTTTATGGAACCTTTTGCCAATTGTGATTTCTTGGATACAGCGGAAGCCGCAGTTCTCTCCGCAATTCTTTTCTACCGTTCAATCAGTTGTTCTTCCATCTTCCTCCTCATCTCTTCTTCCTGGTGATTAGCATTAGAATCTATAAAGAAATTAATTTAAGGGAAAATGGTTTATATTTGGTTGGTACTTGGAATATATATTAACATTACCTTCTCCAACTTGCTCTTCTGAGTAATGGGCCTACTAACAAGAGATGGTTTCTTGCTCTTGGACACATTTTCAGCTTTGCTCCTCCCTGTGGGTCCATTTAGAACTCTAGACCTTGCTTCTTTGGCTGCCTTTTTTGTTCCCTGGACTTCATTACGCTTGGCAATGGTGTTCTTATGATTGGCAGAAGCTTTCTTATCATCATCACATTTACTAGCTTCACTTTTATTTGTTTCAATAAATGATAAATCAATTTGATAATCCACTGTCCAGGAGTCTCTGGAGGATTCGTATCCAGGGTTTCGTTCAAGCATCATGCAAAGGTCAATTGGCTCGGCATCAGGTATCTTATGCTCGTCTTGCGAAACATCTTTTGTGCCATCTGGTTTGTTAGGTGAAGTTAGATCTGCAACCATACTTATATCTGTTTTCCATTGGGAATCATTCTGATCATCACCTGCAAGCCGAGCTGCTACCATGAAAGAATCGTCGACAACAACATCTTTCCTACTCTTCTGAGAATATACGGGATCACTCTCAACTGATAAAATATGAGAGGCATTAAAAAGCATCTGATTATTGGATGAATGGTGGTCTCCGGGGTTCATGGGATATTTTCCAACAAACCAATCGTCTTCCTTTCCAGACCTGATTATTGCCGACTTATTTGCAGAAGCAGATAGGGATTACCAGGCTTCTTTCCCGATTCAGCCTATCTCACTGGAGGTAACAAATCCACTTCTACACAGTCCCCTTTCTCCATGATTGGATTATAATTCTTTCCATTAACAAAATCATCCAAATTCACCCTAGTTTCATTACTCTCATCCCTCCCAGTCACCACAAAAGAATCAATCAAACCTGTCCGTTTAATTGGAACTTTTTGAGATTTGAAGTTCAAAGGAGTATGTTGAGAAATTAGGCTAAGTAACACAGGAAATAAACGAACAGTAAAGAAAATAAAGAACACATGTTAACTCCCCCAATTTTCCCAAAAATCTCCAATTCCCAATTTCCCCAAACCCCAAACTTAGCCCCATTGGGCCCCTTTGTCGCCCTGATTCTCCACCGTTTGGCCACCATAGCACGTACCGTTCCCATCGTCCAGCGATCAAGGCCCAATCGTCAATTCTGCTAAAGTTATTGTCGTTCATCGCGGATCGACGCTTGTGTGCCCCAAACTTAGCCCCGTTGGGCCACTTTGTCGCCCTGATTCTCCACCGTTTGGCCACCATAACACATACCGTTCCCATCGCTCAACTCTCCATCGTCCAGCGATCAAGGCCCAACTGTCAATTCGGCTAAAGTTATTTCCGTTCATCGCGGATCGACGCTTGAGTGTAAGTCGAGAACCAACCACCGCCGTGTTTTTTTTGAGATTCCGGTCGAATCCGTCGTCGGCTTGCCTCACCGCCACCATGGTTGAGATCCCCGTGTCCTTAAGAACCCAAGTTTGAGAGTAATCGAATGGAGTTTAAATATTCGATCGGTGGAGCACAAAAATCGAGGTAATACATTACTACCTTAAGTATGCTTTATGGAACATGTTGGCATTGGTTGTTGCACAGATAAATAAGTTTGCTTACATGTGTGTGATTAATAAATTTCTAAATTCAATCCGATTGCGTAATAAAATAAATTAAACTGAATAAGGCTCAGACTACTTGCATAGACACAAGAAGACTGATAACAAATGATTTCAAGTTCAGTGATTATCTGGAAAAACAAATAATCTCATAATCTCTAAATTTTATTTATCCTCGTTAAAAACTTTAATATCGAAATTACCTGATTATGAAATTACATAATTGCCTCTGAAGTATAAAATAACAAAAACACCCTTGAAGTGTAAAATGACTATATTATATGAGCAAGTTGAACTAAATGGAAGTATTATAGGTTTCTGAATTATGGAAACAATTGAATTACTCTGGAAACTCCGAACTGTCCGAGATAACTTGACTACTAAATGACCTAAGTACCCTCAAAGACCTAGAATTAAAAGAATAACTTGGATAAGTCTGGAAACGCTGATGATCTTATATATGTATCGTCCATAAGGGTTATGAACCACGAATCAAGCATATCAACATTTCCTGATATCGTTGCAATACAGAAATGAAACAAATACCATTAGAATACATGTTCGTCTCCTTAAGATCCATTCATCGATGATTTTGAAGATGATCAATTTGACTAGAGTTGTCAGTATTAAAGTGGGAATAACTTTGAAGTGCATTGATTTGACCGATTGACAGGTATCACAGTGTTGTGATTTGTTAAATCGAGTTAACTCAATATCCTGATAAATTGGCATGAATGTTAAATACCATGAATCATCATTTCTCCCTTATTACATCAAATTACTAAGAATTCTCCAAGAACTTAATGTCCAAAATGCCCCTGATTTCCTGAATATTGGAATCACTCCTGTTATATATAAAATCACAAGTAACTCTGATGCAAGAGATCCCAAATAACTTTCTGATTACATAGTGCCTCCGAAAAATATCTGAATACTTTATGATCTTGATAAATTACATCCCAAATAACTGATGAATCTGTCAACTATCAAACTCTTTTATAGGGATCTCATTTTTAAATTTAATCAGTTTACAAAAGTTTCATTTCTCCCTACCTGATAAATACCAGTACCTTCGGAAAATAATTGGATCCTCTAGTGTGTTCCCTATGTGTTATATGGTTGTTTTATCTATTTTGAAATGTGTTTAACCGAGATTTCTGAGTTACTGAGGTTTTAAGTTTGCTTGTTTGATTCATGATCTCTGGGTACTCTTTCTACTGAATTGATATGTCTGAACTCTAATTTCCTGCTACCACTAATTACTGTCTGAAAAAATATTTTTCTTCGGAGTACTCTAGGATATGGTATGAATTCTCTGCAGGTTCAGCTCGATCAAGCTGGTAATTCCTTATATTGGTTTAGACCGATCGAACTGGTAATTCCTTACGGCAGGTTCAACTCAGTTAAATTGGTAATTCCTTATATAGGTTCAAACCGATCGATATGGTAATTCCTTACGGATCTAAGGTGACCCTTGGGTGGGCTCCTAGGCCTAATGAGCCTAGTGATAAGACCTTATGGAGCCTAAGGAACTCTCTTATGGTTGCACCTCTGCTATGTGCTTTGGGTAAGTCCTTATAGTCCTGAGGGCACTACCCTCAGGTGGGCACCTACGCTTCTGCTAGGGTATGACCTTATGGACCCAAGGTGTTCCCTTAGATTGGCACCTAAGTCCAAAAAGGCATAGGGTAAGTCCTTATGGATGCAGTTCTAGGAAATTGCATATTGGTGCACGGTTGGAATGTTTTGCCATGGTTTTAAAAATACATTTTAAACTGTTATTGTTTTAAAAAGATCTGTACATTTTCACTGGTTTTATGGGAACACACTATACATCCTATTCTAATCTTCTGAAGCTGGTTCTCTGAACGTTCTCTCTAAACTGTAAGCTTCATATCTTTTACTACTTGAAATGCCATTGGGACTTCGGCTCAACACAAAAATCTGTAGATGTATGAATCAATAAGGAAAATTTTGTTTGCCTATTAACATCATGTCCTTCAGCATCACTTGGTAGTTATGTATTACTGAGTTTCCCAAAGCTCACTCTGTTACTCATTATTTCAGGTTAAAAGAATCAAACTTGTACAACTATCGACGTCAGTATTGGAGTTCTAATGGCGTTCTTGCGGAGTACGGTGCATGTGATTAGGGGATGTAGGTTGTGTTCTGTTTTTATATCTGAGTCTGAAACGTGAATGATTTTAATTCTATTTATAGTATATGAATGTTTTTTAAACTTGTATTTTAATTATAACTTGTTTTATGATTTTACACATTTTAATAAAAAAATAATTTTTTTTGGGATTTTTTACTGTGGGTCACTCCAGTGGTCCTAATGTGACACCTCAGATCAAATCGGGTCACCTATATCGGTCTGTGGGTATTACATTTAGTGGTATCAGAGCTTAGGTTGAGTCGTGTTTTCTTGGGTAGACCGGCCGGTCGACTGTCATAGGATGTTTGGTCAGTACGTGCCCCTAGACTATAACCGTACTTCTCTAAGCCGGAACTCCAAAGTTGAGCTATTCTCTGTAATGAGCTAACCTAAGCTTTCTATTCGCTAGGGCTCGACCTATGTATAAAGGAATACCAGTAACGTTTGTCAAAATTTTGTAAAGTGCCTCACGAATAATGTGAAAGTTACTTATCCGAGAAATTCTGACCTGACTCCATAAATGAAATTGAGATATATTATCGCTCTATGAACCTAACCTCATAGCTAAGGTCATATTGTTTCCACAAGGATAATTTTGTTCAGATTCTTTTTATTAGGATGAGGGGGAGTTCTGACGAGAATATATACTCAGTTGGTTAATGATTAGTAGAGGACCCGTACTTCCGTAAAAGCTATCTGAAGATATTGAAGAATTGTTGAAAGCTCAGTTTCTACATTTCCATGACTTGAGTAAATTTCGTTGACAAAAATTCTTTTAATGAGGGGAGAATTGTCACACCCTAATTTAGGGGCTAAATTTAATTAATTTAAAGTATTAAATTAAAGTCATAACTAGGGAAAAGTTGAGGATCAAATTGTAAAATTTATAAAAGTTGCAGTTTAATTTTAGAATATGTGGGAAGTTCAGGGACTTAGCCCTTAATTTTCCCAATTTATCATGGTAAGTTAAAACCCGATTAACTTCCCCAATTTTATCAAAAATCCCTAATTCCTAATTTTCCTAAACCCTAGCCCCATCAACCCCTTTTATCGCCCTGATTCTCTACCGTTTGGCTACCATAACATGTACCGTTCCCACCAATCGGCTCCCTATCATCCAACGATCAAGGCCCAACCATCAATTTGGCGAAAGTCATCACCGTTCGTCGCGAATCGACGCTTGAATATGCGTCGAGGAGAACCAACCACTGTCGTGTTTTAGCATGTAAATGAACAATTTGGATTAAAACAAATATTTTAGTGGGAATCATATTTTTGGTACGAGATTTGTGTTAAAAGCTATAAAGCGGTAAAGTTCGGTATTGAAATCGGATAATCGGAATGAACCGTAATTTTATGAAAATTTGACGGATGTTAGAAAATGGTTGGAAATATTATTTTCATATTTTAGATCAGAGAATTTTCGCTCAGAACAGTGTAATTTTTCAGATTTGACCGAATAGTGGAATTTTAGTGACTAAAATGCAATTTTTGAAAATTTCATGGTCAAATTAAAAAGTCAAAGCCAAGTTGATTCATCTTTAATCAATGAATATTTTAATGGAAGATAATACAATGGCATTTGGTAATTTTCAAGATTTATTAAGGGTATTTTTGAGATTTTTCATTAATTGATTATTAAATTCAATTAATTAGAAAATGTAATGTGTTTTATCTTTTAAATACTATAATAATCATGAAAATTAAGCCATTTTCAGCTTCTTTCTTCACCAAGGCCGAACTTCCCAAACAAAAATAGGTAAGATATTCACTTTAGTTTTTCAAGTTATATGATTAGTTTTTGGATTAAGCTATTAGATAGAGAATTAATCTACATAAAATTCTCTATCAATTGATAAAAATATTTCATGGTGAAGATGATTGTGTGATGAGATTTGATGATTAGAATTTCAAAGAGTTTAGTAATTTTAAAGAGTTGTTGAAAGATTTTTATGTTTTTGATGTTAGTGATTATTTCTAAAGCATGTATAATGGTTAGAATTGATTGTGCATGCATATATAAGGTTTGGTAATGTTAGGGTTTATGGAGAATTATGTGACTTTGATTTAATTTGAGGTTATGATGATTGAAAATGCATGAATTTAATTATAGGAGGTTGAATTCATGCTTGACAATTTAACTAAAAGTTTCCTTAGATGTTATAAAGCATTCAACCATAGGGAAGAAAATTGGGGAAAAATGATGAAAATTTTCCTATGGATTAGAAATGATATTAGAAGTATTCCATGTGTTTTGGACATCTTGAAAGTGTAAAACGGGCTAGTTTTACAAGTTGAAATTACGAATGTTTTAAAGGAAATAAAATTTCAAGCAACTGTGAATAGTAATCGTTAGTCAGTTTGATGTGACATCTATAGCTCGTATTCATAGATGTTTATAGGCTATGGGTGTTACAGAAATAACATAAATTGAAACATTAGAAAATAGAATTACATGAGTAGTGGTCATTGATTACGTGATGATAAAAGAGATAGATAATTTTTCCTATTGTGGCATAGGTTCCTGCGATGCCCACATCTTTTGTGTTCTTTTGATGTCTCTCAAATATCCATATTACGATGAATTCGAGAGATTTTGGACGACCTGGATCCCTTAATAAGTCTGGATCTGGTATAATTGGAAGCTAAATCTGAACCTCATTTGGGTCTTTTTCAT